TCTCTCTCTGTCTCTCCCTCTCTCTCTCGCCCTCTCTCTCTCACTCTCTTTCTCTATCGGTCTCTCTCTCTCTCTCTCTCTCTCTCCGCTCTATGTTCTCTCATTTTGTTTGCTTTAAAAAAAAAAAATGTAGCCCGTTAAGAACCAAAGAGGATTGGTCGAATCATCGAGTAAAGAAAAACCTCAACACACGACGACCACGACCACGACGACCACGACCACACGCTTATGCTCCTCACAGTCGGTGCTACTACTTTGTCCTGAGTTGAGCTTCGGAGCAGCAGCGGGGCGGGAATCGAACAAACACGACTCGAGACCTGGAGCTCAACCCGTTATATCTGATTTCTCTCTTTTGCAACTTGAGGGTCAAACATGTTGCAGCAGAACACGGTGACTTCATCTTTAGTTTTGTCGTCTTTAGTTGGCGTGCACAACGTTTCGCCCAATCAGAGGCCATGTTTGAATATAATGAGGTCATTAAAAACGGGATGTTAAAGGCGCTAAAATTTCATTTTGAATCAACGTTAGTCCAGATGATCGACCCCTTCGAGGCATCACCGCTCATGAGCTCTGAACACACCGGCATGGAGGGTCTCAGGCCGGGCGGAGTCCAGGTTTAAATGAAGACCGGTCAAAACCACCGCTGATCGTCTTACTTTCCCATCGTGTCATTAGAAAGAACAAATCATTTAAATTCATTTTGACGGCCGCAACTTTCCCGGTGTTGGTGATGATTGTTCAGAGATATTTATGGTCTAGACTCGATCTGGGTCCCTAAATGTCCCGGTGGTCTCGGAGCGCTCTGGTCTCGTTGGGCGTGTTCTTGATCACGACGGTAACGGAGGTTATGGCGGTAGAATCATGTTCAGAGGTGAATATTCATGTTTATGAAATTTTTGCTCAAATAAAAAAATAAAATAAATAACCAACACTTTTTTGTACGATGTAATCCGTTCAACGTCTCATCAGCAGTTTATAAATGTCTTTAAGAGTGGCGGGGGGAAACCACGCCATCGAGAGGTCATTTGATCTTGAAAGTGGACGTTCATTTTTAAAAGTCCGTTCAGTCGACGGAGAATCTGGTGCTAAAACATCAACTTTCACTTTGCAATATCTCACGTGAACTTTCCGTAAATCAGGAGGGGGCGTAGGCAGCAATAAAGTTTTGGCGTCTGGACGGCGAGGGCAGCGGCGCCTTCTGGCAGCCAAACGTTAGTGAGAAATGTCATCAAGTTGTTAACGTAGACGCTGCGCTAGTTCAAACACAGCGTGACCATTTTTCTAAAGACTTTTGTTTTGGATTAATTACGTCTGATTGACCTTTGACCTGAAGTTGGCGGCCGTTCGGTCCTCGCCGTTGGAGAACGTTTTTGGTCTTCCTGCTCTGCTGCTGCTACACTAAGGTCAAACAAACGACCCTTTGACCAGCTAACCCCCCCCCCAACCCCCTGAAACCTAACCCGACCACGCTAGACTAAACTCGGACCCCGCAGCTGAACCTCCCGGTGGTCGTAGGTGGTGACGCAGGCCTCTCTCGCACTTATCCTCCGAGGTCATGCTGCTGTTGTTCTTCTGGATGTTTTTGTGAATCCACCGGCCGCTGCCTCCTCCAATCACGCCACGGTGGAGGCGTGTGTAAACACAGATGGCAAGGCGTTGGTAGTGACCATCTATTACATCGTTAAATCCCCGTTTGGGCGCCTTTAGAGGGCAAAGACATCAAACTCCACAAATTCAAATGAAAGGTCACCCAGTTAAAATTAAACTGAAAACAAAAAATCTATTTTTTTATTTGGTGGTATCCACTCATATTTCAAGACGATGTTTAACTCAACGTTTTCATCAGACGTTAAGCTCAAAGTGGGGAAACATCGTCGTTCTGCTGAGTGAGGGTTAGTTAAAAAAAAACATATATGAATAACTTCACCGTTAATCCATCGATCTTCATGAAAACACAACGATTAGCGTGATTAGGAGACAACGGCTAACATCAGCATTCGACCGCCAAAGCATTCGAGGCTGACATTTCTAGCTAGCTAACAACACCGTGTTACGTAAAACTAGCGAACACGAATGTTAGCAACGACCAATCCAATTGGTTTGTTTTTTTGTCATTTCAAAACCCGCCACTTAAAGGTTTAGTTTAAATACCTAAAGTTAAAGGAGCAGTATGTAACTCTGACCCCTGGTGTTTAAAATGAGTACTGCAGTCTAAATTCTAAACATCATAGAGAGCTGTCCCCCCCCCCCTCACTCAGGTCACCATGTGGTGGACTCTGAAGCTTCAGTGTTTATCCAGCTCTGCATGGGTCTGTAAACCTTTCTGTGTTCTAACCTCTCTCCATTTTTCAAAAGCATCTCCAATATTGATCCTAGTTTGAGCACGTTTCTGAACTCGACTGCGTGAACTGACCCTTTAAGAACTCGGTGAGCGGCGTGGGTGTCGCATGTTACCGGCAGCTGGATGGACGGTTTGTTCCTCCTCTCTCTCTCTCTCTCTCTCTCTCTCTCTCTCTCTCTCTCTCTCTCTCTCTCTCTCTCTCTCTCTCTCTCTCTCTCTCTCTCTCTCTCTCTCTCTCTCTCTCTCTCTCTCTCTCTCTGCGCTGAAGAGCATAAAACTGAGCAACACCAGCAACACTGCTGCCCACACCTCCTCTGTCCTCCAGCTCTTTACTGCTCCATGTTTATACACACACACACACACACACACACACAGACACACACACACACACACACTCGATGTTACCATCAACAAATCGAGGTTCGAGCTCCTGAACACACCGCAGCTTGTTTTCATGTCAGGTAGTTATTTCCTTTATTTCTCAGGAAGTATTTGATAGATCATTAAACGAGGAAATGTTTCCGCCAGCCGCCGCCACGGCACAACAAAAACGAAACCTTCCCGTACTAAATTGTCCCGCCCCTCTCTCTCAACCTGCCATCACAGCGCCGCGCCCAGAGGAGCGGCCATCTTTATATTCTGTGTGTTGGATTTATTGTAGTGAGATTGTTTATTATTTTTCCACGGGCGGGGAAAGCATTCTCTCTGAAGGTCAGCGGGAGCGTGGCGTGTTTTTGTAGCCAAACAGACTCGCAGACGGACTCGACACTTCTTCACCATTAAACCTTTTTGTTTACCTTTTTTTTTGCCAAGTGGAAGGGACGAGAGGTCAACCCGAGAGCCCAAATGTGAATCTCTCTCTCTCTCTTGACGTGTTGTATAAACTGTCGAACCTCTCCTTTGTTTTTGTTGATTTTGTTTGTTGTTGTCGTCAGGCAGCATGGAATAATGACACTTGCAAAGTGGCGCTGAAAAAGTAAATAATGACATAACCACGAATAAAGGATTGTAAAATATTAATAAAAGAATTACTTTTCAGAAAACTGAACTATTGTGCAGGTTTGGAATCATTTTGTCTCATGAATATAATAAAGAGTAAATATTTGGTTCTTAATTAACCTGCAGTGCCGCCGGTGGCCTGAGTGTCGTCCCCCGTCTGTTCCTGCAGGGGGCGCTGGAGTCCCATCGATGGCGGTCTCCATGCTGGAAATGCTGTCTCAGTCTAACTTTCAGTCAACCTAACGACAGGCTGAGAGCTGGAGCTGAGGCGGGTTTTAAACCTCCTGACAAACCGTTACACCGCGCCCACCTGTCAATCAGGTCAGCTACACGCCTTATTGTGAATAACTCTTATCCTTCATCAAATCAAAACTGATGAGTCATCAAAACATTCACCCCCCGTACAGTGTGTGTCCATCCAGACATGAGCTAATCACACCTATTTGGTTTTTTGAACCAGGCTGTAAACATGTTCATCTCTGCTGTAAAAACAGGCTTTTTAGAATGGGTGTGTATGTGACTTCCTGTGCTTCTGCAGCCAGCCTCTAGTGGACACTCCAGGAACTGCAGGATGTTACACTAAAGCATTTGCATATTATAATATACTGTGCGTCTCAAACGTCAAACTACAAGACAAGCTGCGTTTCATATACCTCGGATCTCGCCAGTGTCGGTACTCGAGGCAACAACATCACTCGGGGTCATCAGGTGGGCGCGACAGGCACCTCCAAAGGGCTCATCTGCAACATTTGGCGTCCCAGGTGCGCCTCCCTCAACTCGCCCTGATGCTCCAGCTGATGTTTTGAGGCCTCAGGTTAGAAACTCTCGTCATGAGCTCGAGCCAACGACGAACCTCCTCAGCGACTCTGAGGAGAGCTGTGACACTCAGAGCGTCTGCAGCCGACCTCAACAGAAACAAATCAATCAATCAAAACGAGACGGTCCTGCCTCCTGCACCTCTCGGCACCCCACATGCCAACACTTCCCGGCAGCGCCATTAAAGCGCGCCCGTCACTTCAGCAGCGTGATCATCACACCGTGAGAGCGAGAGCGCCAAGCTTTCTTCTTCACCTCTTAAATATATGTGAGTGCATTATGTGTAAGCGTGGGGCGCGATAAAGCTTTAATGAAGCTTCAGCGGGACACAAAGCGGGCGCCACGTTCTCGGCAGAGCCATTAGCGAGAGCGGTTTGCTCCGTGGTTAATGTTTCCGTCCTTTATCTCACGGTTACTTGTTGCTCATTGGCTGGTTTCTGTGCTTAGAGGTCACCTGTCTGCAGAGATGAACAGTGAAGTGGACAGAGGGGATCTCACATTAAACATGGCCGACTGTGTTTTATGTTGCTTTGAGAAAAGACATTTCGTTAAATCGTTTTCTTTAAATTCTATTACATCCGTGTTTGCTTTGCAGATTCTTCCTCAGATTAAATAATCTCATTGCTGCCAATTGTCCACACAGTCAGTCAGCGCCGTGATCTGTATGTCACGGTTTTGTTCCGTCCAACAGCGTCCTGACCCGCTGGCCGTTTCTGGAGCATGAGCAGCTGTACACACATCACAAGAGAACTACAAGATCACAGGAGAACTACAAGATCACAGGAGAACTACAAGATCACAAGAGAACTACAAGATCACAAGAGAACTACAAGATCACAGGAGA